CTTCATTTGAACTTGAGAGAATTGATTCATTCGCCTCATCAGCAATCCTTCGAAAGCTTTCCATTGCCTTTGTTGCATATCTGACAACCCATGGCAACTTCATGATCCACTCATTTGCCCAGGTGATCTCTGTCGTTGGAACATGAATGGTAGTTCATCTGCGCATTTCAACTAGATATTCGGGACGTTGTTCCGCAAAGGCATGGCGATATTCTTACAAACCATGGGTGATTTTATTCGGAGAAGTTCCAGGACCCCTATAAGTCGTTACTTGTTGTATGATGAAGGCATTAATCTGGCAAGTACTTAGCTTCTTTCCAACCTAAGGGGTACTTGATCGTAGGCTCCTCGATTTTGATTCGTGCATTGTGAACCATTGAACATCTTTTATATGTGATAAATGCGGAACATTTTCTTCTAGCTACTGGTACCGGATAGATCGCGGAGGCTACATTCAATTTATGATTCAAATCACTAATTCTGATCATAGTGAGCAGGAACCATGACTCTGCTTTCACCTTGATTGCAGTGGCTAAGTGTAAGTGGCTCACATCTTCTCTGTTAAAATGAATCAGAAGCTCAAGTACTACTTCTCTCAAGATGCTCAAAGTTTCTCCCGCTTTTCCGAAGTATTGGACTGTTGATAGAAATCCCATGGCGACATTCAAAAACTCCGATTGTTAAAGCAAGACCAGGCAAGAGTAATACTGTCCATTTACTTTCCACGACTTTGGAGTATTCGCACAGATAATGAAAAGTCTATCACTAACAATATCAGTAGTCTAGGTGAGCGGGGAAGAGTCTGCTGCACCAACAATCTCGTTACAATATAAGCAAGCATAAATAACGGCTTTAGTTTCTGCAGACATGACCAGCATGTGCTATGCTAGTCAGTTCTATGATATTCACCTCTCAAACCAACTCCATTTGCTGGTTAGATTTATCAATATCACATCTCACATCTTATTATTCGCCTGTTTTCGAAATTCGATGCTAGTGGATGGAGTGTGTTCTATGTCTGCCGACCAGCTGAAAGATACCTACTGGTTTCGCCACGACAACATGTGTTCGCAATGAAAATATTCCTGGTAGTACGAAAGATTGGCAAATATTACGAACTGTCAGAAGAAGATAAGATTCTGTCTTGGTGCTCATCAATGGTGGAATCTTGGCTTTATGACTGCCTTACTCACTTTGGACACTTCTGTATATACAAACCTCCATATGTGACTACGAGTTTGCTCCCTTTGTTCCCATAATTGTAAGAAGGAGCGCCTGGGACGAGGTCTTTCACTGAATTAATCTGGCGGACGGAAACCCCCCCCACTCCCAGACCCGCCGAGCTTTCATGCTACATGACATTAAGACATTGACGAGAATCTTTATTTGAGCATCCAACCAATAATGTTTTACTCACATAACCAGCAGATGCACACTGAAGATTAACTTGATCAGCAAGATGCGAGTTATAAATTCGCTTGGGAATTCCATACGTTGAAATAGCAACAGAGAATCATCGCTGAGCCTCAAAGGATACGTGTTGAGTCGAATTGTCGTAAACGTTTATCAAATTAATCTTCCCATAAAGTTCCTATGATCTTTCTATATTCAGCAAAAAAGCGAAAACATACTTTGGTCTTCTAAATGACATACGTGCATCCACCGGACACAACTACAAAATGGCAGTTCCTGCATCCGAAAAGGCTGGAAGAGTAGACTCTAGCGCAAGTGATATTGAACTTATAAAATCACGAGAATGACATCGAGAAATCTCAAAAATTTGGACAAAGTCTACCGGAATACATACTTTTATGATGTCGATCGGAATCTCTATCCAAGACAACGAGATCAACTTCTCGCATTCTATCCCTTTCCTGAAAACGTGCAGCTATCAAGCTCGTTCGGTCTAGATGCGTGAGTTCAAGTATCTTAGATGTGGTCTCAATCTGATTTTCACAAGCGTATTTTCATTCTTGATATTGGTTTATGAAAGTATCTTCAGCGTTGTAATTAGTAATTTCCATATTTCAATTATGCCCTACTTTAGTAATATGTATTGATATTTATACAAATATTTCAGTAGTTATTAAAAGTATTCAATATTTCAATAATGTCAAATATCACTAGCAATATAATGAAATATGAGAATTCATATAACGTGATTTATCATTGAGTAGACCATATCATTGAGTGAACCACTTTCACCTCAATTCATACTTTCAAACTCATATTATTTAATAATAACTAAATCAATTAATTGAAATTATAAATATTCTAATAATCTAGGATCTATTAAATCATTTTGATAAATCCTTATATTATATTTAGTTTTTTTATATTTATTATAGCATTAATTAAAAAATACTTCTTTATTAAAATTCCTTTCTTTTTAATACTTATTGTATTGAATTTGAATATCAATCTTTTATTAAAATAATATATCAAGAGTTTTTTATTTAATAAATATTTCTTTTTAATGTAATTAAGTTTTTTTTGTATATTGATATTTATTTAATATCTTATTCGTTATTTGAAGTGTATAAATCTTTGTATTCAAAAGTATATTTTTATAAACTAATTTTTCTATATCTTTAGTTAAAACTAATATAATTTCGAATATAAATATAGAGGAGTTTGATTGATAATAAATTATTCGAAATTTTATTAAAATTAATTATAAAAAAACTTTAAATAGATTATAAGGAATTTAAAAGATTTATAAATCTTGATTGAAAAAAGGGGGAATAAATATACAAATTTGAATATCTAATTTCAAAAGTATAGTTTTAAAATCGAAAGATATTAAACCTATTTCTTGAAATTTTGATTTTATATTCTGAAAAATGATTAATTCTTTATATACAATTTTAAAAGTTATAAAGAATTTAATCTTCAAAATATAATTGATATATATTTTAATAAATCCATTAATTTGATTATTATATAAATGTTTCAGATTATTAAAACAATTAATATTAAATAATTAAATTAAATGATTTAAATGTAATAATAAATTTAAATATATAATATTATTTTCTTTATAATATACTTAAAAAGCTATTGATTTATAGTTTTTATATTTATTTAGTATCAATATTTGATATTTGCTTTTTCTTTGATTTTTAGTGTGTTTATTGAAGTGTTTCAATTATTTTAAATTTGTTTTATTATTTATTTATCTATTAAATATAGGTTTAATAGCTTATTTTGTAAAAAGATTAGTTTTGGTGTATTAATTAGAGAGGTGAATCTATTCCTAAATTATTAAAAATAGAGAAATAGTTTTATTCTTTTTATTTCTGTATATTATTATTATGGTTTATTCTCGATTGTTTGATTGTATTAATTTATTTTTACTATATCTCTTAGTATTAATTATAATCATTCTGGGGTATATTATATTTATTATAAAGTTTATTTTGTTGAAGTTGTAGAAATCATTATTCAAAATGCTAAATTTCGTTTGTATATTTGTAATTAATTGAAATTAATTTTTAATAAGTTTAGAATTTTTGTAAAGAATTTTTTGAAAATTATAAATATAATTAAAATGTATTTTTAATTTGATTCGATGCTTTATAAATCGATATACTTAAAGCTTTTCAATATACTTTATATTCTTTGATTTAAGAATATAATTTGTTATATCTTTTATTTCTTTGAATTTAAATAGAAAATCTTTTGAATTTATATTAAGAATATATTGAATAATGATTTTTTTTTTAATTCTATAAGTTTATATTGATTTATTTGAAATTTCAGAATGTGGAATTAAATTATTTATTTTATGGATAAGGGTTGTATAAGGGATATTATATAGTTAGGAGGTTTTTTGAAGATTTAGTTTTTTATTGTTTTTAATAATTTTGATAATTAAAAGTAAGTATATTTCTTTATTGTTAGGTTATATAATAAATAATTAATAAATTGTGTGTTGAAATTGGTTATGTTTATTGAGATGAAAGTGGTTCACTTGATGATATGGTTCACTTGATGATAAATCACGTTATACTATTCGAATACCATATATTTTGATTGCCTTTAAGCCTAATAAGAAAAGGGATTATATGAAAAATGTAATATTTGAATAGAAATGTATGAATTCCTGCATTTCAAATACATCTTTAGTATGGCTTCTTTTGTACGATATGTATGAATGTGAAATTTATTGGCTATTATATGTACTAGTGTGCGTATTGTATTCTCCCTATCAGCCATAGTAATACTACTGTATATCTAGGTACTAATTACAACACTGAGTATCTTAGAAAGGAAATTCCCCCTTCTTTTAATCATTCGCTTGGATTCTTTCTCCATTCAAAGCAATATAATTTTTTTCGTTATCTATGTGAGATCAATTCATTCACCTCAGTACTTCCAGTAAATCTCCACTATAGGCTTCGGAAATTGATGCAGAATGGACCCAGACTGTAAGCCCAGAACCTCCTCATACCACATCCAAACACTTGCTTCAATCCAACCCCCTTTTAAAAGTTCCCTCCACGTTCTCCTGTCACCCTCTTGTGTCTCTATCGGCACCTTTATCCAACTCATATTTGTAGGAGGCTTGACCATTGATGTCTATTTCCACTCCGCAACCTGTGGTGTTTAATTTCAAGTATTCAAAACCCAAGAATCTTCGAATGCCTTGAAAGCTTACTCAAATCCCATTGATGCCAAGCTCATTACAAACCACACCTTCGCCACCCTCGCCATTTAAGTACTTGTCTGAGGTGCTATTCTACGTCTGTGTGTGAGGACAAACGTATATGAGTTGCTTATACCTCATACGAATCGTGAGTTCAGACACCCGTGGACATCTATGGCCTCGAAATTTAGCTGGTATTGATTCGCTCACTTTCTAAAACATAGTCCATCGCTGGATATCCAATGCTCGTTCAAGAGGAGCCTTAATCTCGTAAGCTGATTCCGTCATATCCCACAATTTCATTAATCTCATTGAAATTAGCCCAGTAGCAACAAGCATCAAGATTCATATATAAAGCCATAGTCAAACCGTTATAATATGCTAATGAGCTGAAAAGCGCATGCTATGATCTATCTATGTATTATATATGTGACATGAGATGATATGAAACCCCCCCACTCACTCATCCCCTCGACAGTGCTCCTTAATATGTGCACAGCTTGTATCATGACGCATCCTTATGTAGTACCGATCCCCAATCTTGCACCATTCCATACTATGTCATACCCGAGTAGCCTTCTTAAATAATCAGTTCACCAAGCAAACCTGTCTACCACCCTTTACCTCCGGCAATCTCCTCGTCAACACTTTCCCACCCTGCGAAAACTCCTTCAATCATCTTAGTACCCAATCCGGGATCCTTAGATCCTGTAGTAGCTCTGATACTATGCATACCAAGTTGGGGGATTCCGACATCAATAGCTCTAACGCCCATTGCAGAACTCAACATCGGTCCTACTGTACCTCCCGATCTAGAATCATTTCTAATCATGAAAGTTTGCAGCTTTTGTCCGCATTTCTCCGCCAATCTCTGGAAAATAGTGGTTGAGACAGAATCCGTAGTGGTATGTCCATTGCTATCTGCTTCAACTGTCAATCCTACATTGAGTCTAGGACAATGATTCTCGAGGTATTTTTCCAAGAAATTAGGATTTGTAGCATGTGTAACATCAAAGGAGACGAGGAAGGACTTGGCATATGTTTCCATCAGAATATTGGGGCTGTATGTGGAATGATTGAAGCACTCCACGATACGTTCGATTGTTCCGGGGAGGAAATTACCCCTTGCACCCTGACGCAATAGCGAGCCAATCTCTTCGTCATCGAAAAGAGCAACCATGGATATGATACCAGATGATTTGGAATCTTCAGAGGAAGAGTTGGAGAGCAATGCCTCGATGGAAGACCAAGAACAAACCTTATCATCAATACGTCCTGAGAAAATAAATTCCTTGTCGAGCCCACCAAGTTGAGATGGCTGGGTATCGAAGAGTTCGAGTTCCCAATTGATGATGGTTTCTTTATTTTCAATGCCCAATTCTTTGGCAATAAGGTTGACAAGTTTTGGTGGTTGGGTGGAGACAAATGAAGATTTTGCACCGGATATGTTTGATGTTTGGAATTGCTCGGATGATGAGGATGAAGCCGAAGATTCAATATCGGAATTGTCGAGACCAATGATTGGTACGAGTTGTGTTTCCTTGTTATTCTGACCAAACATTCCAACACCAAAATGGGGAGCTAGAGTTGGAATGCGTGCAATTGGCCAACCCAATTTTACCAATTTTTGAGAAACGTATCCGGTTTTCTCATCCTTGACCAAAACTCTACCACCAATACCAAGATCTCTATCCCACCATGTTTCATTTAATGCACCAGCATAAGGAGCAACGCCAAGCTGTACGAATCCAGCCTTATTGTGTTTGGTGCTGATGGGCTTTAGACGAGCTGTGAGAGAATCAGAGTGTGCGGCAACCATTGCTATTCCATTTCCAGATTTGTATGCGCCACCCACGGAAAATGCAATCAAGGATGTTCCATTGCGGTTCACGTAGTATTTTCCGTTGGGCTCAAGCTTGCCGTTCCATGAATCACGCGGAGAGAGCTATAAACAAGATATCATTAGCATTGTGCTTCTTGAATTCAGGTGTGCATTTGAAATCGAATGTGAAAAATCAAAATGATTAAGAGTTGCGCTAACCCTGGTAAACCCAGCGTCCTCCAACTTGTTCTCCCAATATTGAATAGCATGCCAAACTGTTGGATTCTCCGTCATGAAGTTAATGAACGGTTCTGCGTATTCTTCGGGATCTTTGAGAATGGTTGCATGCTTTGCAGCACTGGGCGTTTTGGTATCTAGATTGCGAGGAATAAGAGAATCATTAGGTGAGTGAAATGCCTCGAACAAAGTTTGTGCGCCACTCGTAGCATTGATTTCCGTCTGGGCGGATGGAAATTGGTAAGATTTTCTCATCTTCTCGAAGAGTGTCTCGATCTTCTCCTGTTCTAAGCGCTCTTCTGATTCGATGGAACCTGGAGGGCCCCATGAATCGCCCCCAAGGGAACGAATTGGTAGACTTTCACGGGTTGTGAAAGACTCCCCGTTATTCGGGTCAGTAGGTTTAGAAACGGCCAATTTCATTTTGGCGAATTCACTCATCAACAGCTCCTGGGTAACCTTCTCGTCAGAAGCAGTCTGTTTCTCCATGGCAGCTTTGTGAAGAGAGGCGCTTGACGGCTTATTTCTAACCATTGTGTTGTTGTTCTTTCCGGAGAAATTGATTATAGTGATGTCTGCGGTTTCAACAGCAAGTAAAGCTACCGGGAAGAGAGGGAGTGATGAGCAGCGGGTCGTTTTCTTTTAGACAGAGCGATGGCGAATATAGTGAGTGTGAAGCGGTATTGAATCTGAGTAGGCAGGGATCGTTAACGTGAGTTATTATTTGATGGGAGTGATGTGATTAATGTAGAATTGATTAACAATGGAGTATCCATACCTACCTACCTAGTACATAAATTCCGAACAGTAACTGTAATAAGAGAGTTGAGAGTCAATTGAAGTCAAAGATGGGATGTTGTGATTATTGTACTCGATTATCTATTGTTGTCTTAGATGTACAGCCTCTCCAATATTGAGCTACACCGATACCTAGTCTTGGCGATAGCCTTAATCCACATCGCCAAGTATGCACTGTACCTGAACCAAGAGATAAGATCTCACAATCGAGACATGTACCCTCAACATCAACGTCATGTCAGTTGATCCATCACTGGAATGCACCTGGTATATCTTCACATCAATGATCGTCGACGCATCACACAAGTTGATCGGTGTTTGAACACTGAAAAAAGAAGAGAAACCGATGATGTTGGTCAAAATCCTTTTATTTCGATTGAGACTAATTCTGTGGAGAACCTAAGCTTCTGCCAGGCGGTATTGTCCATCATAAAAAGCCATGCATGCTATATATATAAAATTCGTCATCATCATCGGCCATCCCGTAACTGAGACAGCAGAAATCCCATCAACTCATCATACTGATATCCTCGATCGACTCCGTGCTCTCAATCCTTAATTTACCAGTTGTTGTCGTAGCTGTTGAAGTGCTCTGGGGGACCACGTTGGTTTCTGTGAGAAAGGACATGTTAGCAATACGGTAATAGCAATAGTAAACGAGAGATTACATACGGGTCGTATTGATCATCCTGGCCATAATGTTGATCGTACAAATGTTTGGCTTGTTCCTCTGACTTTTCTCTCATTCTGTGCTCACGGACCCAGTCCTCACCCTTGGTCTCAGCCAACTTGTCGACTTCAGCAGAGGCGAAACCGGCGAGGAGCTCCTTAGCAAAAGCGTGGGAGACTGGCTTGCCTATCGAACGTATTCGAGTTAGTACAGTGACTTGGTTGAAGGTCAAGAAGCGAGGCTTCAAACATACCCTCCTTGCGTTGTCTGTCCTCGAACATCTTCATGGCGGCGAAACCAGCACCTCCTGCAAGAACCTCATGACCGAGACTGGCAGTGTCTTCGTTTTGGTATTGGTCGTAGTGTTCTTGAGATTCGCCTAAGGGGAATGGTATGTTAGTATGAGCTTGATCATGTTGCGTGAAGTATCAGAGCGAAGGTGAGAGACGTACCCCAGCCGAAAACCATTTTGATAGATTTATTTGGTAAAAGTTAAAAGAGTTGAAGAATGTGGTATACAGTTGTAGATTGAAGTTATGTAGAGATGTAGAGTTGCAATTGTTGATGAGAAAGGAGAGAAGAGAGGTTGAGGAGGGGAGATACGAGGGGTTTAAATAGATGGGAGTGTTACCGTCGAATCCTCACCCCTCTTTGACTATACCTTTATGGATTTCATACATTCACACCCACATACCATTTACCTAGTACTTCTTAATTAACCAAATAGAGTAGTATATGATTCACCGTTTTATTCCATTAAGTCTCCAGCCCCGCTTGTAGGTTCACAACTCACACCTCGTACCTCATACCTCATCTTGCTTTGATCTTGTTTTTGATGGCAACACCTTTTCAGGGTATCATATTGAACCCCACATTGCATGAAACTAATACTCAACCCACAATCTACCGGGCACTCATAGACGAGTACAAGTGTCAAGTTCTTCCAATAGTTTAGTGGTTACACGGTTTGCGTGGCTTATAAAAGAATGTAATGGAATCATCAAATAGAAAGCTTGTTTGGGAAGAAGGACTTGGTTGCTAGAGAGCCGGCCAACCGTGTATAGATAGGTACTGCTGAATGTATGGATGAATGGATGGTTGGATGGTTGGATGGTTGGATGGATTAACGTGCCGTTGTTTCGATGGGATGGCAGTGGCAGCGGCTGTGGCAGTGAGAGGACCATTCTTCCCCACGTAAGGTTATGCCCAAATCTCGAATCCAATGCTCCTACGTCAACTATGTATCATGATTCATTTGTCTTATTGAATACTTGTTAGCTATCAGTGCATGTCATGTCACGATCATGAAATTTACTTTGTTTGAATACCGGTAGAAGACAGAATGATATGGTAACGCATTCTAGAGTCTACGATACATACCGTAACCTTACCAGGTACAGGTTACTATATAAAGTAATAAGTCCTTGTACTCGTGGTAGCCAGGGTAAAGCTCCCATTTGCATTTGTACAACACAGCTACTGAGGGCAAAGTTAAAACATAAAGCATGAAATGAAATGTGCGGTGCCGAGACTCTCAGACCCCCTCCATTATCAACTATATCACCTGGCATCTACCTACGTATGATAATATAGTGAGTCCCTATGACATCAAAACTTCTCTATCTCTTACGATACAATCAAAATTCAGGAGAATCCCTTCACCGGTAGTTGTAAGTAATTCGGTCTACTGGGTATTTCGTACGAAGTATATCTCAACCCGAACTTACTGAACGCTTACATCTCTCGGGGTCTTGACTCTTGACGCTCGAAACCCCAAGTCTCAAACAGATTACATGCCATGGTGAATCCAGAATTAAGAAACCAGATCTTCAGGGTCGATCAACCAGCCTATGACACGCTGACGAAAGCTTCGAAATCCATGAAAGGGCCATAAAAATATACATCATCGTAATCCCTTCGTTCCCAATCATTTTGGGGAAGTACGAAGTGAGAAGTCTTAGACCATCCGACCACCGTGGCTTTACCACTTTCATCTTGCTTTACGTTTTCGTTGGTACTGTTGGTGCCGTTAGTATTCCATGGTCCCGATCAAGGGTTATTGATTGCATTGCCTCATTGCTTGAATGCTACTACTTCACCCCTCCATGCGTGCATGCATCGGATTCGGATGGGTGGTTGGATAAGTGGATGGGTGGATGGGTGGATGGGTGGATGAGGAGACGAGAGGGGTTAAAACACATTCATCAATCCTGGTATAGCTGGACCCTGTCTTCAAGTTGATACTTTCCAAATCATTAGAGAGAGACCATGATAGCTCCTTCTCTTCCCTTAAAGTATCCTCTGCATGCGCGTAACATTGTAGAATGTCCAACTGCAAAAAGGGTTCATTCATCTGTCAAATGGGCATCGCGTATATGAGTTGAAGCATCGATTGCAGCATCAAGCAAGGTTCGAGACAGACAAAAACGTGATCGGTACTCTAGCTACATCGTATACGGGACCAACCAGTAACAACCTGGGATACCTAGGAAGCATAGGGCGAACGAACGACATTGAAGCTTTAACAAGCCTTCAAGCTTCCACTCTCGAGCCACTCTTTCCCTTCCGCTCCTGCGGCAATTCCCACTTTACACCTAACAAATAGATCATGGCTACTTTCCTGGGTAGGTGCCGCTAAATAGTTAAGGGTTCAGCTGAACAAGCTTCATTGGCTTCTCCATAGATATGGCTTGGTCAGATGCTTGTGTTATCCAGCGAGGATAGCCTTGTAAGCTTTCGAGGCCGGCTCTTTCGTCATTTGCATATTTGGACATGGGTTTATGAATCTTTTGTGAATCTTTATGTAAGACCCACCTTCACCCGGGCAAGTAATGAAAATTGACACAGCCTTGTTAGAAAAACAAGCAAGGCTGACGAAATTCGAGGTGGAAGAAAACAAGAGTAAATATGACAACACCACGTCTGCCAACTGTAGATGATCTACCAAGGAATCTATTATGTGATATCCTGCCATCAAAAGATGGAAAGAACACCAACATCTTGATTCTGCTTCATGGTTTGGGGGACACGAAGAATGGATTCACACAGCTTGGTGAGCGTTTATTTACCTCATTTGCATTTCTCCTGCCCCCCCCCCCCAATACCTCTCATGTGGCCAACGCCCTCTTATGTTCTGCAGAATTCTATCATTTCACTAATAGTTCCTTCAACTAACACTTCCGCTCAGCCAAAAACCTATCTCTGCCTCAAACTGCCTCTTTAATTCCTCAAGCTCCAACTCCAATCCCCGCCCTCATAACTGGTTCCGACCTACCTTCTTTTCATTGGGCACGCGATCTCGAATTCGACTCTACGACTGGTTCTCTAGATCTCGATGCTGATCTCACACCCTCCATCGCACTTCTGACTTCTATGATTGAGATGCTTATGAAATCATGTAATTATTCACCAAGAAATATATTTCTCTTGGGATTTGGACAAGGAGGCATGTTGGCTCTTTCGACTCTTGCACAAACTAGTTCTTCATACCTAAAAGATGTGGAATTAGGAGGCGCGATTTCAATTGGCGGACGACTCCCTTCCTCTTTTTCTCCGTCTTCAAGTTCAGCGACAAGCCAAAAAGATAACAAGGGAAGAGTCAAAACCCCAATTCTGGTAGCGGGCGGGAACAGAAAGTCGGAAATAACAAGCACCGCGTTGGAAAAGGTAAAGAGTACATTCGCGGAAGTAGAATATGTGAAATGGGAGAGAGAAGGTGACGGAATGATGAGGGGGAGGGAGGAGGTACTGCCACTAATGAGATTCTGGGGTAGGAGGTTGAAGATGGGGGCTCCGGAGGGGATGACAGAGGTTTGATGTGGATAGAAGAGGTGAGGAGGCATGACGATAGATGAGGGAGTTATGGGTTCAGCCCCAGTAGGTTTGGCCGTCAATCATACTCAGGTTTTGATTTCAAGACCCCGAGTCTTGATATTGCCGGCGGCATATTTCTGTGGCACAACAACACGCTGCAGAGAGTTCTGTATAGATGTTTTACCACGTCTCCATGCTCATCTTTGTTTGCCCAGATATGAGGTTATTTTCGTCATGGATGACTCAGGATTTGGTCTGGGTGAGGGTATTGGAGGGGGATCTATTTTCTGTTTGAAGCTAGGAAATAGAATAATCTAGAGACAATCTGTTTCAAATGGCAATTTGAGAATGCTTAGAGATACTACCGTGGTATATAACTTGATTGAGTGTGCTTCCATCATCAAAGAGCCATCAGCAACAATCTCAGATAGATGTCGATCTTCGCGTTTGTCATTTTCTCGTAGTGTTCCGCATATTATCATTATCATCAATTTTCTGACAACTGCTATTTATTCAAGTTTTATCGCTTCTGCCATTTGTCTTCCTCGTTGTCATCTTTGCAGCATTCAATTCTCCTCCCAACCTCCAAACCCAATATCATTTGCCCCAAAGCAATCTATTGCTATGTTTACTTTCTTATATATGCTTGAGACTCGCGTTTAGTAGGTGGAAGTTTTGATTGCATGTTTAAAGTGCTATATTTGTTCTCAACCTTTGTCATTCTCGAAAATACAGATGTTTCTTTTTGTGTCTAGTGGGTCGACTTTTAAATTACATACTTTGGGACCAATGGTCTGGAGCAGTTTTTAAGATGTAATTATGGAAGCCATTCATTTATCTACTCTCATATACCATAGAACCATGTTTACCTGTTGGTTAAATCGAAAAAACATGATACTGGGGCCAACTACCGTCCAAGCATGTCAGATTCTCAAAGGCAAAAAATTGTGAGGAATATCGTAGCCCGTAAATCTACCATTAGCAAAGCATGAGCTCCATAGCACCAAAAATGATTGTGACACTTAGGAAGGACTGATCCTGTTTATCATTTTAGTTCCCGAAATATAAGCCCAGCTTTCCATTGGTTGCTATTGACTCATCTTTGTACCAAATCACCACTATTCCCTCTCACTTTTTTCATGGAAATCCACGTTCATGTAATTTGAATCCTTCTTGATACGTTGAATTGCATCACATCTTCCTACCAGAGTCTTGACCTTTCTTACAGCCTGTATTCAAATGATGTCTGGTCTTTCGAGAACTACGTTGTGGGTTTCAAAGATGTGGTGACGTTAATCCCGATATTGACTGGGTTATTGTGTCTTCAGAAATTTAGAAAAGACAGATCATTGATTTGCTACCGGCGAACCTCATATTTCTTCATACGTTGTTTTGTGCGATTGCTCATTGACGATACATCTTTTCTCATTCTACCTATGTATATTTGTTTCAACGTTTCAACCCCCTTTGAACCCATATCTCTTACTTGTCTTGTTGTTGTCCCATACTTTGGTCTGCATCACAGGCCTGATGGAACTCACGGCTTGCCTTGCCGAATCTGCTCTGCTTTTACGCGCCTTTCATTAGCTTTATACTGAAGCTGGCTGTCGAGAGCTGATGGGGTCTACAGTCGCAGTCTGGCTTGGTGCCCGACGATGTAAGCTCTTAATTTCTGAATTTAATTGGTTTTGTCAGATGATTTGTGTGAAAATCCATAATAAGTCCACTAAATCACTTATTAATATCTTACTAATCAAGAGATATTTTAATAATTAATATATTTATAATATAATTTTATATTATAAAATTATATTATAATTTAGTTATATAATAATATTTTTTATCAAATTGATTTATAATAAAATAGAATGGAATAAAATCAAATAGAAATATTATTGTTAAATTGATTAAATTTGATTAATTGTATTTTCTTTTTTATATAAAATAATTCTATAAGATTCGATTTAAATTGATTTTATTTATAAGTATAGAATATATTAGAATTTCATTATAAAACTAACGTGGTTTATCATCGAGTAGGCCCTATTATTGAGTGGTTACTTTTCCCTTAATTTATACCTTCAAATCTATATATTTAATAATTATTAAATCAATTAATTAAAATTATAAGATTTTAATAATTAGAATTTATTATATCATTTTAATAAATTTTTATATTATATTTAAATCTTTCTGTATTTATTATAATATTAATTAAAAGATATTTCTTATTAGAATTTCTTTTTTTTAATATTTATTATATTCAATCTAAATATTAATCTTTTATTAAAATAATATATTAAAAGCTTTTTATTAGTAATACTTTTTTTTTAATATAATTAAGTGTTTTTTATATATTAATATTTATTTAATATCTCATTTGCTATTTAAAGTATATAATCGTTATATTTTAAAAATATATTTTATAAATTAATCTTTTTTATATTTTTAATTAAAATTAATATAATTTCGAATATAAATATAAAAAAGTTTGATTAATAATAAATTATTCGAGATTTAATTAATATTAATTAAAAAAGAGTTTTAATTAAATTATAAGGGATTTAAGAGATTTATTAATTTAAATCAAAAAGAAAGAAATAGATATACAAATTCAAATATCTAATTTCAAAAATATAGCTTCAAAATTAAATAAAATTAAATTTATTTCTCGAAATTCTAATTTTATATTTTAAAAGATAATTGATTTTTTATATATAATTTTAAAAATTATAAAGAATTCAATTTTGAAATATAATTAATATATATCTTAATAAATCTATTAATTTGATTACTATATAAATATTTTAGATTATTAAAATAATCTATATCAATAATTGAATTAAATAATTTAAATATATAATAGATTTAAAATATATAATATTTTTTTTTAATAATATATTTGAAAAGCTTTTGATTTATAACTTTATATTTATTTAATATTAATATTCGATATCTATTCTTTCTTCAATTCTTAATATATTTATTGAAATATTTCAATTATTCTAAATTTGTTTTATTATTTATTCATTTATTAAATATAGATTTAATAATTTAATCTATAGGAAAATCAATTTCAATATATTAATTAAAAAAATGAATCTATTCTTAAATTATTAAAAATAGGAATATAATTTCACTCTTTCTATTATTATATATAATTACTATAACCTATTCTTTATTATTTAATTATATTATTTTACTTCTACTATTTTATTTAATATTAATTATAATTATTCTAGAATATATTATATTTATTATAAAACTTATTTTATTAAAATTATAAAAATCATTATTCAAAATGCTATATTTCATTTATATATTTATAATCAATTGAAATTACTTTTCAATAAATTTAGAATCTTTATAAAAAGTTTTTTGAAAATTATAAATATAATTAAAATATATTTTTAATTTGATTCAATATTTTATAAATTAATATATTCAAAACTTTTTAATATACTTTATATCCCTCAATTCGAAAATATGATTTATTATATCTTTCATATTTCTTAATTTAAATAAAAAATCTTTTAAATTTATATCAAAAATATATTGAATAATTACTTTTTCTTCTAATTCTATAATATTATAACAATTTACTCAAATTTCTATATAAAGTAATAAATTATCTATTTTATATTAAAAATTTATATAAAGAATATTATAAAGTTCAAAAGCTTTTCAAATACTTAGTTTTTTATTTTTATAAATAACTTCAATAGTAAGAAAGATTTGGGCTTTTTAATTAATTGATTTTATAATAATTGATTGATAAATTGTATATAGAAATTGAAGGTATAAATTAAGGGAAAAGTGGCTTATTCGATGATATAGCCCACTCGATGATAAACCACGTTATATAAACCTAGGATATTCTTCAAAGAAAACCTAGAGAAAATAAGTAATTTCATTTCAATTAAAACCTAGTTCTTATAAATTAACTTTAATTCAATTCTTATTATATATATATTCGATTTGTTCCTAAATATAAACTGACTAGATCTTCCGTTATTATTATAATAATAATTACTCTTATTATTATAAAACGCAATCTCCAAGAATTTGAGATTTCAAGTTCGAAATGAAGACATGTTCTCTCTGTCACGGTCATGGACTAAAGAGCTCCATTAGGCACGTGATAGTAAGCCCTCGGGCCTACTATGTGCTAAAGGGAGTCCGCATATATATATAAATTATATAGTTTTTATAAGTTTAGAGGAATTAATAAAAAGTTTTTGTGCTATATTTTATTTAATTGATTTATTATTAATATCTATTTTAATAATTTTTTTTATTTTTTAATAAAGTAGTTTATCAATTAATATTTATTGAAAAGCTATTGATATTAATATAATCTTTATAAAAAGAATATTTAAAGATTATAATTTGTATAATATAATCTCAAATTAATTAAATAGAAATACTAACTAATTTCTCAAGAAAATCAATATTAATATATAAATAATCTAATCACAATCATCTCCTAATAATAAGAATCTATTATTAATTCAATAATTTTAAGAAATGAAAAAAGAAATAATTATTATAAAAAAGTTTATAAAATAGTAATAGATTATTTATTATATATAATTATTCTAATTAATAAATATATAAATATACCTATTTCTCTTTATAATTATTTTTCTTTTTAAAATGTTTTTATATATAAAATAATATATTTACAAATATTATTTTTCAAAATCAAAAATTAAATTAATTAATAAAAAACTTAGTAATCAAATCGGAAAAGCTTTTTATTAAAATATTATATAGATTATATTCAAAATATTATTTACTACAAATATTAATAAAAAAAATATTATGTTATTATATATCAAAACCCTATTATATATAGATATTATAAAGGAAAATATAAAGATTCTATTTATTTAAATAATATATTTAATATTTTCTATTTAGAAAATATTTAGATTTAATTATTATAATAAATATTCTTTTAATATTAAACTTATAAAAAGAAGGAAGAGTAATTTATATAATTATTATATTTTTTAATATGAATAAAAAGCTGGTAGTTTTTTAATATCTCATTGATTTGAAAGTATAAATTAATATTATTTAATAAAGCAAATATATAAAATGAAATTGAATATTAAATAAAAAGAGTATTTTATTTATATCTGTAAATAATACTACTATTATCATATATAGAAATCATAAGTTTATTATAAAAATAAAGAATAATAAAAGAAAAAAAAGAATTTATATTCACAATTTTATTTTTATTATATTAGATTTATTAAAAATAAATACTATTTTAGATCTATTTTGATTATAAGTAGTAAATCTGAATATCAATTGAAATTCAATATTCCTTTAATACTATTCTAATTTTAGCAATTTTAAGATAATTCTAATAAAGGAATTTTATTGA